TCACACTTTGCTAGTTAACAGCTGTTGAGTGTAAATGTTTTCATTAAATTCATGTTACTTGATCTGAGTACATTCTAGCCCAAGGAGTTGGAGGGGAAGAAGGGTAAAGCCTTGCTTTCACATAAAAGATGGTCACCATGCAGATGAAAACGTTGTCTCAAGAACTTTGTTTGAGATAAACAGTGATAAAGACTACCTAAAAATGTTGCTGAGTAAATAGTGTTATCTTGAATTTTCAAGATACTAATCTATTGGATGTTTTGAGAGAAGGGAGATCTTTTTTACCAAATCGTTTTGTTCAACAGCAACCCAGAGAAAGCAGCCCTAAAGGCAAACTGTATGGAAAGTTTAAAAAGCAAGATTCGTGTGGAGATTCTTTTGATTGATTCAGAATATTGGTGCAGAGATGGCCTGGCTCTATAAATCCTGTCTGCTAAACCAGTAGTAGTGCTTTCTTATCGACAGTTAATGAGGAAATTCTGTCTGAAGGGAGCTATTCACTATTGAATGCTGGGGTGGGGTTTCTTTCTTTTTCTCTTAGGAGAGGGCTGAGAAGGAATTCAGTTTGACCTTGGAAAGTCTTGTAAAAATGTAAATGAAAAGACATCTCATATTTTGAGGCGACTACCTTCTTCCAGAGAAATGCTGCAGAAATCTGTTGTGTCCTGGAGACTTGAAACTTTCCTGTAAAATTTTTAAAGGTCAAATGTAGTAATTCTGTTTTGAGCCTCATGCATGTTGTACTTCAGCCAGCATTTTCCAGTGTACAGTAGTGTTGTTTTTTTTTTTAATTATTTATTTACTTTCCCTCCTGTTTTTGGTCAGTAAACAGTTCCTTGCTGTGGTTACACAGACAAATATAGCTGAGAACACTTTTCTGGGAGAAGAGTCTCCTCATGCATTTCTTAGCCATTTTTGGGAAGAATTTATCTATCTGTGCATGTGAGAAAGGGAGGCAGTAGCTGTAAATCGAAGTGACATCATATGTATTATTCTCATTGATCCGCTTTTAGACTAGAGCCAGGATAAAAGGAAATGGCATCAGGGAGGAAGTATGCTCATTTAGGCACAGATCCCAGTGTGATAATGGAGTAATAATAGAAATCACGCCACTGTCAATCAGTTGCTGCATTAGTCGCAGGCACATTTCCCTTTGGAGGAGGCTTTCAATGACTTCATTCAAGTGCAGACTGGAGCAAATGGAATATTCAGCATACCAGCTGTACTACTTCAGTGATTTGTGTCCTGGCTTAGGGCTGCCGTGTGAGCGCTGGTCCTGTGGATGCTCAAGTAGATATATCTGTGTCATATTTTACGGCTGTGAAAGGTCAGTAGTCAAATATTTCAGTGTCATTTTTCTGGTATAAAGGGTGAATCTAGCATTTATTGCATTTGTTAATGTAGAATTGATAAATACACTCCTTCACGTGGGTGGTCTTCTGGGACCAGAGGATGATGACCTTTGTGCCTGCAATATCATGCCTTTGCAGTGACAAGACTTGTTTCTCTTGTGCTTTTTGCAGGTTAGGGATGCAGGATTCAACAAACTCACATTTTTGTTCCAATATTTTTTGTAGGGACCATTTCAAAACTGCCTTGAGTTACTCTTGACTAGAATAATAGTTTAAGTATCTTGTATTTTATTCATATGGGTGTACTAAGTATGCTATTTCTTAATTTCTGAATATTTAGTATACATTGAATTCCAGCCCCAAGCAGGATGCTGCTTGAATGTCTGAGTTACAGTTCCAGTTTGGTAACATTTACACTGATTCTTACATCTTACATCTGTTTTGATACTCCATACCATTTTGGTAGGGTTTGGTGTTTTTTTTGGCTCTTTTTTTTTTTTTTTTTTTTTTTTTGGTGGTGGTGGTTTTTGTGGGTTTTATTTTTTTGTTTGCTTGTTTGTTTTTTTTCAGAGGCAGGAGCCTCAATATTCAAACTTTAAAACCTCTACATCAGATAACTCCAGGGAAGTCAGGGACAGACAGCTGTTTGGTGGGAAGACAAAGTGAAACCCTTTCAAAAGATTGAAGGAGAGGCTTAAGGACAAGGTAAAGCATGCAGTGTTGGAATACAGCTTTGTAGTGGGGATGATGGTTAATTATATGTGACATGACAGAAAACCTCTGGTGTGCTTGATCCCAAGACATTAATTTATTCCTTCTTTGTAGCGTCAGTACTCACAGCTGGGGGAGGGGAAACCCTGGGAAAAAAATGTGATTTCCGTGCAGCAGCCTCAGGTTGTGGCCAGGGCTATCTGTTTTGCAATATAAACAGATGGTGTAGCATTTGTAGTCGTCATGAATGCTGTTTCTTGATATTTGCCTCATTTCCTGGTGGAAGGGATCTACTTTAACAATCACATACATTTGGGCATTTGGACTGAGTATTCCCATGCAGTTTAAAGTGTTTATTTTTTTTTTTTTTTTTTTAATCTTTTAAAGAAAAAACAAAGAACAGAGATGGAAATTTTGTGTCTGGTGTGTTATGGCTGTTTTTGAAATTTTTTCATCGTAGGAAGAGATTTCACACAGTGAAATTTATACTGTTGTATTTTGCTGTATCTTTATATAATTTTTACATACGTTAGATATTCAAGATGCATTTGCCATAATGCCATAAATGAAAATGGCTTCATAATATCCAAAACAAATTAACTTGTTTTCTCTAGGATTTATGCTTTAGTGATGCTTAACAGCAAGGACCTCTCTGTATTAAGCGTAGGACAAACAATTGAAAAATCTGTGTGCACCCCAAACAATTTTCAAAATGCAAAAAAAGAGAAGTAACAGGTGGATGGGACAAATAAGGATGGTGGTAAGGAAAATGAAAAGTAATGGAACGAAACTTCAGATGTAACTTTGTGAAGTTATCTACAACCTTTGAAAATTTGCTTTGGAGACAAAATGTAAGAGCTGCACCCACTAGTGCCAGTTCAGTTACAGGTCTGACAGCTCTTCTGCTGGTGCCCACACCCACTCTCTCCATGTTTGCTAACTCTTAACTTGGACTTCAGTTAAACCATGGGCTACAGACTTGTGTGTGAAGTTTTGTCTCGGACGCCTAGAAGGTGAAAAAATAACTGAAACTGTAGTCTCGGGAGTTTTTGCTCTGCAGTCTCACGTTCAGGAGAGGTAGGAGTTTGATTTGTAATTCTGAAAATTCCTCACCCATAATGCAGGAGTAGACAGAGGTAAATTAAGGACATGGCTGATGCTTTGCTGCTTTGCTTTTGTTGGCTTATTCTATATTCTGTATGTTATCTTAGACAATAGCTGTCTGTTGCTGAATCTCTAATGCAATTATATTGAGGATATGTAATACTTTGTATATCCTCTAGCACATGTATATGTATATATGTATTCAAACAGCTATTCTACAGTTTCTAAAATTAAGTATTTTGCACCATTATCTTAGCAGGCAGATCTTTCTAAATAAGAAGTTACTTTTCCATGTGTGGTGTTCTGCAACATTTCAAATTTTATTAGTGTTCAGAATGAATTAAGTCTCCAAGCAGAATCGATTCCCAGAAGCTTTCCCAGTTTTGTTTTTTAATGTACCTCCCCATCCTTTCCAGGCAGCTACTTTTGGACCATACAATGCACATTCAACTTGGCACTTTAGGGGGTTGTTCTAAGATTGAAATAGTCAGTATTTGTAAGCAGCTGATGGTTTTTATCCATTCTGTTTTGTTAGCAGGCATGATTATCACTCAGAAAATGTTCCAGTAAGAGCCAGTAAGATGTAGAATTTTTTCAGTCCCTAAGATACAGCTTAAATAATAAAATAAATGGAATGGAAACTAATCTTAAATCCTAGAGCCTTCCTGTCTGCCTTATTCTGATTCAGTACTAATGCTAAATTACGTCAGACTAAGAGGGAAGAAAATGTCATGTGGCTTTGTTGCTAATTATGATAATTTAGATACAACGAGGTGTGACAAGAGCATCTCCAAGTGGCATAAAATTAGAAGCAGAGTTAAAATAACAGAATTTTTTTGCTCATTAGTCTGCCTGGAGGATATTAGAAGTAAAGCAGTATTGATTTCTTTTTCTGTGCAAAGGCTTCAATACTTCCTGCCTTCCCCTTAGAATTCTGGTGCCCATCAAAACTGGATGAATAGTGGAAAATCTTTGGGGCATATGACATACTTTTGATGGATCATTCTGAACCCTGAATTTCCAATAAATGTTTCCTGGCAGCTGGTGTAATTTCTTGCTGAGATTTGTTTGAATTATTTATTTGTTCATCCAGTAAGCCTTTTAAACTGAGCACTTAAGCGCTTGCTACATCAGACTATTAGTGTTTTTTGTTTTTTTAAGCTGCATTAGATTCAACTTTAAAACTAGTCAGGCAACTGTTGTGTATACACATATGTACACATATACTATGTGTGTACTACGTACTAGTGTGTACTATGGTCATAACATTCACGTCATGTTTTCCATGTGGTGGATAGCTCCTGACTCTTTGTGCTAGAATGTGCCTCAAAATGTGATGTTTTAGCATTGTTTTATGGGTCACTCATTTGTGTCAGGTTCATTAAATATATTGAGCAACTGCTCATGTAGCAGCTAGAAGTGCCACGATTATACAATCTGGTTGATTCCTGAAATGGTATAGTATAAATTATTCTCTTATTTTATTCCTTCCAAGCCCAAACAAAATGCAATTACCTAGCATATGTATTCCATAACAATCTTGGTTTAATAGGCTATGATTATGTCTCAGTTAGATAAACATAGTTTAGACCTGATCTAACTATGTAATAATAAAATATGTGGAAAATACGTCTTAATTGGGCCCCATACACAGCCTTTCAGAATACAGATGCATAAAACCTGAGTTTTTTCAGGAATCAGCTGTAACTTCTATCCATATTTCATGCATGCTGGAAGTACAGAGACTGTTGCAGTCTTGTTCTCTTTGACTTGTCTGTTTAATTGCTCAGTAAGTAGACCTCTGTTCACACACAGCATTTGTTTTTGTTTTAGCTGCTCCCAGACCAGCTGGTCTTACTTCTGGAGTATCTCCTGGAAGAGAAGACACTGTGTCCTAGAACACTACAGCGCTTAGAGAAGACATACCAGCTCCGTGACCAGGATGCTGAGGTAAATCACTAAAAAAAGTCTCTTATAAAATAATTCATTGCATTGTTGACTGTGAATAATGATGATCCACTAAGAGCCAGGTTCATTCAAGTTGTATATTCCAGGACTAAGTATTAAATTGCACGTGTTGAATTCCTGTTGCATTTCCAGATGCCTTAATTGTCCACTGCTTTTGTCTGTGTGTCAGGAGTAGGTCCAGATGTGCTTGGATGCTGTAGTAGTAGGAGAAAATGCAACATAGATGTCATATACTATTGTATATGTACTTTAGGCAACATGTTCACTCAAGTGCTACGTTTCACACTATTATGGTGAGTACGTATTAGATCTTAGCACATCTTAGTCCTCTGCGTAGTCTTCCAGGTGCAGCTGTGTCTGTTGCAGTCTAAAGTTGAGCTTCCATGTGGCTGGCCCCTTTTGTTCCTCTATGGGCACTTCCAAGCCTCACTTGCGATTTTGAAGACTGTGCTTTCCAGAGCTTTTAAGAATGAATCAGTTCTGTGTGGTTGCATGTAGTGTTAACAGTCACTGGGGAAAATACAATTTTATGTAATAGCGTAAATGTGCCTCCGTCATGACAGACACACATCAGGCTGGTATCTGTTCCAAAGAACTTAATGTCTTAGAAGGTTTGGGAGCAAACCTGTACATTCTTCTTACTGCATGCAGTTCTGGCCACTTTGTGGTGTCTCAAGTTGGGAGAACTGTGAAAATTAAGACTACAAAACTTGCTGCTGAAAACTCCTTGAAATTAGTGCCTATTTGTATCAAGTTTTCAGGAGGGGAGACAGGAAGATGAATTCAGTCATGGAAATAAAGGATGTATATCAAATGTTTAGATTTACATGTGTGTGTGTGTGTGTGTGTGTTTGTACCTTTTTTTAAAAGATTAGTTATGAAAGACCATGTAATCAAACTAATATGTAATGAGGGAGCTCAGTAAATAACATGGCTTTCAACTCTTCTTAATTAAAAACTACTGTGAAGACTATGGAGAGTTAATGTGCATAACTTACTCTGTTTTAATTGGAATTTTATGGCAATATTTAAAATTGAAGAAGAGAGCAAAATCCTTGTTACTCTTACAGTGAAACTGCTGACTAGATATTTATAAACATTTCAATCTGAATGTTATTGTCAAGATTTATTAAACAGAGGTCTAGCTTTTTCTCAGAAAAAAAGGCAACATTTCAACTGTTTACTGTAACTTCTTTTATTGATACAAGTTTCCAAATGCCAGACTTGTTTTTAATTAGTACTTGAAGCAACGTTTCTATTTATAGGTATTATAATATATTTTAAACTCATCTGAATACCAGTGAAATGTTAGGGGTTCTACAATGGGAAGAGAAATAAATAGGGAGGTAGATCAAAGCAATAGCTGTGGTGTTGCTGCTTCCTGCCAGTGAATTCTTAGAACCTTAGGCCTCAAGCTTGAGCTTCTCAAGTTTTTCCTTTCTCTCTACTTTCATACTTACTTTCTTCTTTGCAGTGTCACATAAAAGTACAGAAAGTCTCTCTAAGATTTTTTTCTTCTATTAAAAAAAAATAATAATAAATTCAACCTTGGCAAAAGGAGTACAATCTTCGCTTCATTTTATGAAGTGAAGTCAAAGGCTTAGCAGATCTTCAAAGGTACAACTGAGGTAACATTACCATTAGCATTTTACCAGTCATCAGATCACAGGCAGCTACAGTCCTTTAAAGGAGATGTTAGCTTTCACACTCTTATGTAGCTGAGAGAAGAGCCATTCATGCCTGTTGCTCCTGTATGTCACAGGGGATTTTTCCTTTAAGGACCCTAATGACCCAGAGACAAAGAACTGCAGACCACACTAATAGCTTTTTTTGTCTAAATTTGGTTTGTGAAGACACTTTTAGTTACAATGATTCGACTGTGTTACTGAAGTTCAAATGCTGTTAGTACCTGGACATCAGAAATAGATACAAACATTTTTTAAAAAGTTGGCAGGCCAATAGAGAAAGCAAAAACCCTGTGATGGAGGTTTTATCCAGGGATTTTTGTAAGTTAAGTTGTCAGTTGTCAGCAAAAAGAAGTTAAAAAATAGAACCAGTTTTATTATTTTCAGGAAATATTGTTTATGTACACATTAATCTTCTAATAAAAATTAGCAATGATGTGGCCAGTAATATGTGAGAGTTGCGTGTAAAAAAAATATGTTATTTTGTATTAAGTTTCATCTTAAAACTTGTAAGTAAATATTGTCTGCATCCTTGGGAGTTGGAAGTCTTCATTATATGCTACAGTTAGCTAAAAGATCTTCCTACAACATCAGAGGGGGTATAAAGAAAAATATTTATATGTAATACTGTTTACTCTCATTATAGTGAGAATGTTTCAAGCTGGTTAGCACTAATGAGAAATAAAATCAAGGTTTTGAATGATCTCACTGTGTAGAATAAGTGTGTTGGGAGGAGTAGAGGGGGCAGTTGCTGGGTGGTTTTCACTGCTGATATGAAATAAGCCCTTCCCTCTGCCCTTTGTAGAAGGAGGGGAGTGTGCTGTTCTTCACTGGACACTGTAGCACCGTGCTGAGAAAGTACTTGAAAAAAGCTGCGTTGAGTATGGCTGGTGAGAAACAGGATACAGGTGCACTGGTCTTGTTTTGCATGGGAGTTATTTTACAGTTCTCTCATCCAGACTGCTGTGTAGCTCACTATGATCCATCCTTGAATTTCACAATTGATGCAAGAAAACTCATATCTGAGGAATGTCTTTTTGTCTATCATAATCGCTGCATGGAACGTCTTGGTTCTGGTTAAAGCTTTTGTATCCGTATTTCTGAAGTGCCTTTGTTTGGACTTTACTGTTCAATACACTTGTAAAAATGTTTGTCCAGTCTTACCAATTTACGGGCCACATCTTGCTTCGGAGAGAGAAAGAGAATGTGCAGCAGGTTTCTCTTTCTCTGATCCATTTGTACCAACTAGGAAAGGAGAGAGACGTGAGCTAGCCTTCACCTGGAAATTAACTGTTGAGGTCTTCTCAAGGAACACTGAGGTTACTTCAGATAACTCCTGGATTTTCCTCAGCAACTCAACTGTCCTCTTTCACATGAGATTTCACGACAGATTCACAGTTTCCGAGAAGAGGAGGACTCTCCCTCCTTGTGCCAGTAAACTCTGCTTCCTGACAAAGACGCATTTAAATACTTCAGTTAAAAGCAAACAAAACAAAACAAAACAAAACAACAAACAAACAAACAAAAAAACCAGCCAAGGTTAGATAGCGTATATCTGATTCACAGTCAAGAACAGATGCAGATCTTTCTGTGGTAGCAAGCTTTGAGCCTCCAGAGCCAGGATTGAGGTACCTGTGGTTTAACCATACTTCACACTGGACTGCATCCAGTCTTGGGTGGTACAAGAGGCTCATACAGCGTTTGCACAGTAGCAACGTTTGTCTTTCTTGCAGTGGGGGCCCCAAAACTGAACACAGCACTTGAGGTACAGCCTCACCAGAACTGAACACAGAGGGACAAATCACTTCCACGCTCCTGCTGCCAGCAACATTTCTGATACAAGTCAGGATGCTGTTGGCCCTCTTGGCCACCTGGACACACTGACTGACCATGTTCAGCTGAGCATAGACCAATACCCCCAGGTTTGTTTCCTCTACGCAGTCTTCCAGCCACTCTGCCCCAAGCCTGTAGTATTGCCTGAGGTTGCTGTGGCCAAAGT